ATATAAATAAAATATAAAATATATTTTAAATGTATTTTAGTATATTTTTAATAAGAATTTTAATATATTTTAATAAAATATATTTTAAATATATTTTTTAAATGTATTTTAAAATGTTTTTAAAATCTATTTTCTTCTTTTAAAAAGAAATACAAAACAATCATTATTTACATTAAAAGTATGTGGAAAAACTGCATTATAAAAATGTAAACATCAAAAAACTTCAAAAAATTTGTAAAAAAACAAAGCAACAGTCCTTAGCTCCAGCCATTCATCCATGGGGGAACAGCAGATTGTGACTGGCTCTTAGAGCCTCTTTGCCCTCAGCTTTCAGCAGGCACAGGCAGGAGAGGGGCTTGCAGAGCTCTGTGCTTCCCTCAGCACTGGCAGCTTTCAGAGGAAAGGAGAGGAGAAGCTGACCAGGTAACCTTGGCTGTTCAGGGCTGAATGGCTGAGCTCTGGTGGTGGCTGAACCCTGAGCAGCTCAATAGGCTTTTAAAGCAGTTCAGCACAATGCACAGAAAATATTCCCATTTAACCTTTGAGCCAGTGGTTGGTGTGCAGATTCTGCCTCAGTGATACCAGCTGCACAGTGATACTGTGTCAGGCCTGAGCCCAGCAGGCAGGGCATGCAGAGCACAGCCACAGGCACTGTCCCAGTGCTGGCTGGGATCTCATGGCAGTGCTGGTGCTCACAGCATGGGCAGCTTCAGCAGGAAGCCAAAGGCCAGGTCCAGCTTGTTCTTCTCCCATTGGGACTGTCAGTGAGTAGTGTTTGTCTTATTTGGTGCAGACGCCAGCAGTTAATCCTGATGATGATGATGAGGGTGTGGTTCATGCTGGCTCAGGGCTATGCAAAGCCACCCAAGCTCAGTAACCAAAGCATCACCACCTGTTTTGTTTGCCAGTTTTTTTTGATGGGTGTTTCTTCCCCTCTTTCCCCCCAGTCAATTCATTTTAGGTTTCACAAACAATATTAAGCCAATAATGTCTGTGCCAACAAATTGTGATTCTAATCCTGCTTCCTGATACTTGCAATGCTGTTTGTCTGGGTGAGCAATTTGTGTCAGCTGGCTTCTTCCCTGCCTCCCAAATAAGTCTCCCACTGTTGGGAAGGCCAGGCAGGCTGGGAACAGCTCTTGTGCTCCAGCTGCCAGTGGTGCTGCAGCTCCTCTGTGGAATGAGCAATCACCCTGCAGGGATAACCCATCTCTGCACCTTCTGGGAGCCTCAGTGCTGGCACTGGTGGTGGAGCACAAGCTGCTGCAGTGTTTGGATGCTGCTGGCCTCGTGCAGAGCACTGAGAGGCTGTCCCTGTCCCCAACAGGCCCGTGATGGAGGTGCCCAGTGAGCAGCCCTTCAGCGAGGAGCAGGCTCGGCTCTACTTCCGAGACATCGTCCTGGGCATCGAGTACTGTGAGTACCCAGCCCTGCACAGCCTCTGCCTCGGCCCTGGGGGGAAAAAATGGGTGCATGGAAAATTCTCCAAGCCTGCCAGGAGGCTCACACAGTGTGCATCTGTATGCAAAGCTGGAGATAAGGAATGCTGACTTGGAAATGCCATGGAATAGGACAGATATTGTTGAGAGGGAAATGGAGCTAGAAACAAGTTTCAAAGGATGGCCTTTCAAATAGGAATAGATATTGTAAATGCAGGTCTGCTGATGAGGGGAGAGAATGGTGCATCTGACTTTATGTTCTCAGAAGGCTAATTTATTACTTTATTACACTATATTATATTAAAGAATACTATACTATACTATACTAAAGGATACAGAAAGGATAGTTACTGAATGCTAAAAAGATAATAATGAAAACTCCTGACTCTCTCCAGAGCCCCGACACAGCTTGGCCCTGATTGGCCAAAGAGTGAAAACAACTCCCAGCAGAATGCAATGGAACAATCGCCTGTGGGTAAACAATCTCCAAACACATTCCACAGGAGCACAACACAGGAGAAGCAAATGAGATAAGAATTGTTTTCCTTTTGTCTGAGGCCTCTCTTGCTGCCTTTCAGCTTCCCAGGAGAAAAACCCTGGGCAAAGGAATTTTTTCAGAGAATGTGAGTGCCACAACTAGATACTTTGGAGAACTAGAACTATGAAAGATGCATTGTAGTAGGACCCACAAGAGGTAATTTAAGATTATTTGCTTTAAGGCATTTACAGCATGGTGTGGCTAAAGCTGATAGACCAAGAAACACTTACAGTGTATTGGAATTAAGAAATAGTTGGCTTCTGATTGTGATAGTGTGAATTACAACATCTGTATTGTCCCAACCTTCTCATGAGACTGAAAATAGAATAAAAAGCTTTTAAAACACCTCTCAGTTACCCATCTCTGGGTCAGAAAAGGGCTTAGTCCAACACCCCTGCTCAGCTGGGGAGGGGCATCTTGGCCCTGGGGGCTGTTGGATGAGGCACAGAGGTTTTTACCTTGTGTTTCAATTGCCAAACAGCTTTTGATTAGATCTGTTAACAGTAACTCATAAAGCAGTTCCTAAATCTCTTAGGTTGGATGGGCTCTTGTGGATTAATAACTATACAATCAAGAAAGTTGCAATACTTTTCACAACTGAGAAAAGTCACCAGTACAGTTAAACAGGAACCCATAATGTGGGCTGGGTTGTTCAGAGTGTTCCTGAATGACCAGAAAAAGGGTAGAGAACAATAAGAAATTGGTGATGGCACTGAGATATTCAGGATAGTTGTTAGAACTGACTGGGAAGAGTGGCAGGAAAATGCCATGGTAGCAAGTGATAAAATGGCAGATAAAAATTCATGTTTCTGATTGCAGTGTAATGCATGAGGGAGAGAAACACTGAAAATACATACAATGTGATGGGCTCTAAATTATCTCTTCTCACTCAGGCTTTTTGTTCTGGATAGTTCTCATGAAAATGCCAGCCCATTACTTAGTGACATTCAGCAAGGCTAACGAGATTTGGGGAATTATTTGGAATGAAGGAAAGAAGAAAGTAGAAAATGTTATTGTGCAGTTGTTTGGATCTCTAAGAGCTCTTAGGTACAGACAAGGAGTATCCTGAATATTATGTGCAGCTTGGCTCAGCCTGTCTTAGAAGCAGAACTCCCTAGAACTGAGGCCCAAGAAGGATGATGAGAATGGTCTGGAATGTCTTAGGTTGAGAGGTATGAACAAAGCTCTTAAGACTGGAAAACTATCTTGGGAAAGGGTGCTATGGCAGAGGCTTATAAAATCCTCAATGTCAGGGAAGTGCTGGACAGGAAATGAATCTTTTCTCTCTCTAAAAACACAATATCTAATGGATAGCAAAGAAAATAATCAGGTAGCCAGTTTAAACCAAAAGGAATTAATTACTCACTCTCAACCACTGAGGGAGAGCAAGTCTCTGAGCATGATGGGCCTTGCTGGGGCAGAGGAACATGGTTTGAGGGTCTCAGTCCCTCTCCACATTGAAATGCAGCACCACCTCACCTTTTGTCTAAAACCAGCAGGGAATAAAATCACTGTTTGCAAGTCTGACAGTCCAGAAGCTTCCAGGTGCTGCCAAAATTAGTCAGGTCACCCCAGAAAGTTGGTAGAAGTTAATATATGAATGAGAATCTCAAGACTGTCTTTGAGTAGAGGTTGAAGGATGAAGATGCAGCTTTTTATGTTCCCATTAGCATTCAGATTGCAGCACAGCCTGTGTGCCTCAGCTGGGAGAGACAAGCTCTGCTCTGCTGGGTGCTGCTGCAGGAACAGTTCCTGCTCAGAGGAAACTTTGAGTTTAGTACACAGGAAAAAAAACCCCAGCAATGTGTGGGTAGTCTTAAGCAGAGAGAATTAAATTCAACAATAAATTATAGGATGCCCAAGCACTCCCAGCAACAGAACAATAGGATGCTTTGTTTTGGACCATTGAGTAACCACTTATTTTATTAGCAAATGAAAGTTAAAAATGGTGTTCTCTCTGAACTGCTGGGTAAATGCATGGCAATTATTATATAATTAAGAGGAAAAGTGCACTGTTTGTGCATGCTGAAGGAAAAGTGTTGCCAGGCAATCCAGAGATTGCAAGGTAATTTTAATGTAAGCATCCATAATTGTTGTGCAATTTGGGAGGCTCAATAACCTTGCAGCTGCTTGAAGCTCCCAGTCATCACAGCAGCAAATGCATCATTGCTGGTTGGATTTCATCAGGTTAGAAGTTGGAACCTGCATTCCTGTTGGAGCCTGGGAAGTGTTAGGGGTGAGCAGGAAGGGGAGCCAAGGTGGTGGAAGATGTGAGCTGACCTTTTAAATCACTGGTGATTGAAAACTGGTGGTTCAACCACTGCTCTGTGAGCACTGTGTGTCTCTGGGGACTGCACTCACTGCTTTTTCCAAACCATGGACTTTGCCTGGGGTGGAGGCCTCCTGCAGGAGGGATGGCTGTGGGGGGAGGTTTGGAGAGAGGCAGTGGCCCAGGTGATGAGAGCTGGGTGGGAAGCCTGGCTTAGGCATGGTGGGAGGCTGGGACAGAGCCCTGGAGCTGCTGAGCCAGACAGTGGCACAGAGCTGTCACCTGCTTTAGGCTGGGCTTAGTGTGCTCAGTAGCAGGAGTGCACTTTTACACAAGCACAGTCCCAGATTGTTCAAGGTCTGAGAGCCAGGGAGAGCTGCCCATGGTTGTCTCCCTTCCTCTGGCCCTGCAGGGCTAGTTGGGAATACAAATAGAGTTTGTATTCTACAACTTGGAGAATTGTAGAATTGGAGTTTAGGCATGGTGATATCACTGATTCTGGTTTAGTGTCCCTGTCCCAGGGCTGGCTCAGGGGTGTGTGGAGTGTCAGGAGTTGTTCAGGAACATCCAAGTGTCACTGGGCTCCTGTGAAATGGGCCCTTCACAGCAGAGTGGTTTTGCTCCCATTTTCAAGACTTCCCCAGTGCTGCTGGCCCTGCTCAGCCCCCCAGGAGCTGGGAGGGCAGTCTGGCCTCTGTGTAAGTGCCAATTCCAGAGTGCTCAAGTGGCAGCATCCACAGCACAGTTTCTGCCAGGAGCAGGGGCTCAGCTGAGATGGAACACAGGGGGAAGCTGAGCCCTTCCAAAGGGCTGGGTGGTGCTGAGGCTGCAAAACTTTGGGCTTCAGCAACTCATCCAAGTGGCAGAGGCTTAATGGATGCAGCAAGAGAGCAGCAAAACAGTGGAGTGAGGTGACAACAGCACTCAGGATGTGAAAGTTTGGATCATTTGAATGGGAAAGTTTGGATTATTTGTGTCATTAACCAAAGCATGTGCTTAAGCATCTCTGGCAATTAGGGATTTGTGCAATTGCCACCTTTGCACTTGTAACTCCCCTCTAGTAGTGGTTTGCTGGGTTATTTAAACTTCAGTCTCCCTTCCAGTAAGGCAGGCTTTGCTTTCATAGAGATACTCAGTAGAAATGTTTTCTATGTATTTTCTAAATGAGCTTTTAGCAAGTTTGTGTTAACCTGCTGGATCTCCTATGGATTGCTTTTGTCCTTGGATGGGAATGGGATTCTGGATTTAATCAAGCAGGATTCAGCACTGGCCTTAGTAAATAACAGGATGTGTCAGTGGATTGCTAAGTTTTATATGTATCATTTCTAAAGGAGCTTTTTAGCAAGATTGTGTTAACCTGCTGGATCTCCAAGGTTTCCAAAGGGGAATGCAGTGAAAAGCACCTTTTCTAAAAGGACTGAGGAGCAAGATCTCCTTACCACTTCTATCTCTGATCCCTCCGAGTTTTCACTCCCTGTCAATGGATTTATTGATAGGAAATGGTCACCGTGCTTCATCAGCAGGCATGAGGGATATTCCAAGTAGGTATCCCAGTTTGATTTTAGGGCTGGGATGTGAGAATCTTCATTTAGTAAGAATCTCCATTAAGAATTTCATTGTTTCCTGAGCAAGGAATGAGAATGAGCAGACAGAAGGGCTGTGCAGGCAGGAGCTGGCAGTGCCACTGGCCAGGAGCACACAGTGCAGAGCACACACAGTGTGGCCCAGGGGAAATCCCTGCTGACTTGCACAGTGCAGATGAAGCACAGTGACTGTCCCTGCTGCTCTGGAGCTGCCAGCTCAGTATTCCAGTCACGAGAAGCTAAAACAGTTTCTGTCAGCCTGGCTGGAGAAGGAAAAACCTTATTTCCTGTAAAAGCCTGCTGTTCTCCTCCTGTGACTGTGTCTAAGGGGGAGCAGTTTTGGTCTCCCCTCTGCAGAGGAAGGCTTGTCTCCTCTGAGCTGTGGGGTTGAAGGGAGGGTAATGACATGCAGCTAAAGCCATTGGGAAATTCCCTTTCCAGCAGCAGCTCTCTGCAGTGACCCAGGGCCCTGCATGCTGAGCCTGCAGCCTGAGCAAAGGCTTTCAAAACTGGCTTTTCTGAGATAAGAAACTTGGTTATCAATATATAATTTCCATTATCTTAAAGGAAATTTAAACAAATGAGCC